TTCTATTCTATTCACACTTGGCCAATAAAGAATATTCTATTCTATTCTAAACTTGTTTAATTAAGCTCGAACTAGACAGAAACAAAAACCCATCAGCGTTGTTTTCCCACCAATTCTCACTGTAAACAAAGAATATCCCAAGAAAGAATGGTACAGAAATAAAATCCCATGATCTGTAACTTCTCCAGCTTTCCAGGTCAACAGTAGGCCATAAGCTGTTGGGTAAAATCCCATGATCTGTAACTTCTCCAGCTTTCCAGGTCAACAGTAGGCCATAACCTGTTGTAGGAGGTTAATGTCAGGTGTGTAAATTCAAATTCAGAAGATTTATTGCTCACGCCTATTCACAAGAATCTAGTCAACTAAGGCTGAGCGTTAATTTGGCTCTAGATAAAGGTTAATGGAATTCAAAAGGGGTTGGATTTAGACCATTTGTGATCACGTAACAACTCTAGGCTGAATCCTCTCTTGACTCCACCCACAGTTTCTGCCTCTTCTACCACTGTGAGCTTCTTTCTCTGTTCGTTATCGCGGGCTCCTCCACCCCTTATCTGATCATTTCCTAAGCAGCATCTCTTCCCCTGTCTCGCAAAAAATTCAAGAGGGGTTGGACTTTGTGATCATGTAACAACCGTAAGCTAAGTCCTCTCTTGACTCCACCCCCACCTTCTGCCTCTTCTCCCGCTGTTCCTTTCTGAGTTTCTTTCTCTGTTCATTATGTATTTGCAGACTCCTCCACCCGTTGTCTGATCATTCCCTGAGCAGCATCTCTTCCACTGTCTTGCAAAGATCATCCCCACATACCAGATGTCAAGAAGCTTTGGACATACTGCTATGTAGGGAAAACAACTTTTCAAAGGATTTGCACAGCCCAAAGCAATCATAGTTCATGCAAAATAGCAAAATTCTCACTCCTGAAGAGAGTGCTGTGGAATTCCATGGGAAGATAGTTCTTTTACATGCCTACGGCCAAAATCACACCCTCCACATATATTACGTCTTGCAGAAAGATCTACCAATGCTTAGCTCCTGCAGGGTACTTTCCACGGATGATCTTTTCACAGATGATCTCTTGTGACCCTCTTCCAGAGCAAGCTCGATATATTATTTGGAGAGGTAGCCTTTCATCCCCTCTCCAACCCTGAGCCTGCCACTGGAACATGCTTTCAATAATTAGCTCAATCTCACAAAAACTCCTAAGTTACAGCAAAGCTGGCAGTTTATGGCTCAGAGAGCTATAAATCATTTTCAAAATCATGATGATATTACTGAAACCAGATGTGAAAACATATGTTTACCATGCCTGTGTAAATTGCTGACTTGCCATACTTAATAAATGTCGATACTTTTGTGTTAACTACATATCCCCTCAATAATGAATTCCTAAATTCTTGATGATGATCATCATCATCATCAATATTGGCCTTGATAAAGATAAAAGTGATAGAGCCTGTTTTTTCCTTAATGGTTTTATGACTTCGAGCCGCCTTTGAAACAAAGCAACAGAGGGGCTAAAATGCAGGTGATAAATCAATAAAATGCAAGCAACTGAACTGAAATTCAAAAATGCAAAACACACGCTATCATTGATGCAAATGCATTAGTACAGTTAGTTCATTACATTCACGTGAAACACAATTCACTGCCAATGTAAAATACAATTAATGCAAACACAAAGAAGTTGGAGAACTCACTGAAGCCATAACCCTGTCGTGATCACTCTTAAGTATTTCTGAACTGACAGATGACTGGATAAGATGGCGTGTTTTTTGCCAGAACGATTAGCGTTATTTAGTAGGCTTAATCTGAATCAGCAAAACTGGATGTCACTGAGATATATTGAAGAACGCAACCCTCTGCCAACTACTGAAGTTATAATCAAGTATGTGTGAGTTCTTAAACCATCCATAGGTGTGGGGTTTTCTTCTACCCATTCATATTATAGACTGCAAAACAATTTACCATCGTTTTTTTAAAAAAAAGTTAGGTTCAGTGATGCTTCCTCCCTGAATCTATAGAAGTCAAGGAGCTTCAGCAAAACCAGGATTAAATTCTGATACTGGGATCCTACCAACCAATAAGTTACTGCCCACAGTTAGTTGGGGTTCAGGTGGCTCTAAGACTTATAAATAAATAAATACATGCTGAAGAAAACTGAGCAAAAGAACCCAGTTGCCGAGCACAAAATGAGTAACAAGCAGGACTCTGTCCATCCAATAAAATTCTACCAGATATGGGACCATATAGTGAGGACTTTGAGGAGTGTAGAAGGGGGGGGGGGCAGGTCTTGCTGCTCCCCTCCCCAAGTTATATGGCAAAATACCTGAGGTGAATGCAAATATCACCCAATCCAAACCATTTTCGAAATTACATCAGACCTTTTGATTTCAACCTACAGATATAAAGCAGCAACGAAGTCTAAAAATCATCTTGACATGAGAAAAATTAAAAAAAAATGGTGTTACCTTTCTCCTTTAGGAGTTTTTTGGGGTTGGTTCCAGATTCTTGATCTATTGGCTCTCCTTCTCTAATATTTGATAACAGACCTAAAAGGAAATTGTAGGTATAAAAAAGTATAATTAAAAATATACATCACAAAGATGATTACAGTGTTTTAAGTTCAAGACAATGGCTCAGGGATCGAAAATGTATTTGTCCACATTTCCTTCAGAGGAACTGCAATTAATTAATTGTGTGTGTGTGTGTGTGTGTGTGTGTGTATGTCATCCCTTGTGACAAAAGGTTTAAGGCCATGGAGCTCAAGACCTTCTTCAGAATTGACTTTGATGAGAATACAGAAGTCCTGAAAAAGAATTTACATGTCAGCTGACCTCAGTTTTCCCTCTCCATTGCCAGGATGTCTGTGCTAACCATGCCATTGCAAGATAAATTAGGACATGCATTTATTTAGTTATTAACAATTTATATGGCTTTCAATCTCAACACACAACTGTTCCCTTAACAGCCGTTCAAAGTTACAACCAAGTTCTTGGAAAGAGTTCTCTGAGGTGTAACCAGGTTTGAGAGAACTGTATGAAGAAAACCCAGACATTTTGTGCTCCCCACCACCCCAAAGGTTAAAATAAACTAATTAACCAGACTGATTCATCCAAATGATTTAGGATGAAAAAAATGCCTTTAACAGAGTAGAGAGTTTATTTCCTGCAATTCTTCTTGCCTAATACAGTCAGCAAGATGGTTAACACTCAGAGCTGATGGATGTTAGCTCGAAAACCATCATCTGTCCTGTTGAAAGAACATTTTGAAAACAACAACCCAATACCTGGAAAATCGTACAAATGTAATATCATCATGACTTTGGGAAATATTTATGTCTTTATTGATCAGAATGTTGCATCGTCTATCCTTAATGCATTCTAAGTTATTTAAACCCAATTTTGACTATAAATCCAACAATCTATTATGGATATTGACTTGCTGGCATTTAAATATTTCAAAATATCTATGTCAAATATGGCCACCTAGTCTCCATTCCATCCTTCTCCACCATTTTCATAATTCTATAATTTGGGAAGAGAAAGTAAATAATTTCATGAACATTTCAGGTATGGCATTTTATGAAACCTCCTTTATTTAGGATAGAACTGCGATCTTGAGGGTGACACAGGTTGACCTGAATATTTTAGAAGCGGAACAGATCTGTTTCAAGCTTAAGATGCTTGCAAATCTTTTGAAAGAGACTGTTTTGAATTCAAAACTTCAATGGGACGTTGTGTGAAATTTTATTCTTCAAAGTAAAATATGGACATAAATATCTTACAAAGCACAGAGGGAAAAAGTCTATTAAAATCTAAAACTTAACAGAACCAAAACCTAAGAACTGAACTAAAACATCAGCATTAAAAATGCCTGGAAAATACACATTTTCATCCCCTCCTAAAGTCATAATGGATGGTTTCATCTTGACTGGCAATTTATTGCACAACATGGTCTCCAGCATACATAGGTTTGTTTCTTTTCTCTTCCTTTCCCCTTCCCTGTCTATAACTATTTTCAGATATAGGTTCACTGCCCACAGTAATCCCTGTCTCCCGTTTTCCACAGGACGGTTCCTAAATTCAAAACAGTCAAAGAGTGAGACAGTACAAACCAATTCTATCTGGTGTGTTGTCAATTTGGGATGGAGAGCTTGAAACACTGCTGCTCTGGTGGGAAGAGGCATGGCTCCCAGGTCGCTGGCTCTCTTCTACAGATGGAGCAGGCGAAGGGCTGTCTTGGATCCTCTCCTTTAAAGGAAGAAGAAGATTGGTTCAATTAATCCAGCAATTAATTGCATTTCTTTAGGGATTCCACTTGAAGATGATCCAAATGAACCTCTATATTGACTTTCCAAAGGAAACTGAAAAGTGGAATAGAATCAGATGCCTTCATATCAGTTTATACAACAACAACAACAACAACAACAACAACAACAACAACAACAACAACAACAACAACAACAATAATAATAATAATAATAATAATAATAATAATAATAATAATAATATTAGACTAATACAGTTGGAAGGGAACTTGGAGGTCTTCTAGTCCAACCACCTGCTCAAGCAGGAGACCCTATACCATTTCAGACAAATGGCTGTCCAGTCTATTTGAAAACCTCCAGTGATTGAAAAACCGTCCAGCTGTCGGCAAAGAGTATGAATCCTTCCATTCCCCACCATCCAGTCAGAGCTGAAGAAGCTTCTTGGATGAGAAGCAAAACATCTTCAAAGAAAAGCAAAGAAAGTCCAGTTGCCTCTTTGAAAAAAAAAAAAGCACCTTTGGGCAACCAGGACCTGGATGACTGAGAATATCCACAGACCTCCAGTGATGGGGCACCCACAACTTCTGGTGGCAAAGGGAATCCATTGATTCACTGTTCTCCCTGTCAGGAAATTTCTCCTTAGTTCTAGGTTGCTCCTCTCCTGGATTAGTTTGAGCAACTTGGACCCTTCCATGTGTTCCTCCCCAAACTGATTCGGAAGTTTGAATGGAATTAACACCATTTGGAAAAAAATGAAATTGGATCGATATTTTCAATAAGAACTGAGAGGAACTGCACACCTCCAACACCCAAAAGCCATCACTGTCGATCCACTTGAATGGTCAGGCCACTTTCAGAACATGCTATGATATCTTGTGATCCCAGAATAATAAATCCACCAGAGTGGCCTTGGCAGAAAATCCCCAAAAGAAATGAGGGAAGACACAAGAGGAAGAAGATGAGGTGCAAGGATTACTTGTGGCCGTTTCTAACTTCGACTCCCCTTCATGCAAAGTTATTTTTCCCAAGAAACGTCCCTCATTGCTAAAGACACAGAAACTAATCGGGAGAACACCTAAGTAAAAGTTTATGTCAGGGCTCTAAGTAACACATCCACAACAAGGAGAACTCCGAGGCAGGCATTTTCCTCAAAGAACAATTTATTGGGCTATATCATATTGGCACGAACCTGGTGAAAATCGGCTCTAAAGTTCCTGCCGATTTTCACCGAAAAGTCTACTCCTTCCTCACCCCTGCATGGATGTCCTTGGTTCCCAGGGGAAAGAATTTTATTTTGGCTACAGCAACCCAACTATCTCTACTTCCACCCCGCCTTCCTCTCAGCTCTAGTCTGTGTCAGCACTGAAGCAGCAAGAGAAAATGAAAATGGCCTCAGTCAGGCCAGCTTCGGGGTTGACAAGGAACTTGAAAGTGAAGAGAAAGTGATTTGAAGTTATCTTTCTACAACCCTGCTGAAGATTTGTTCCAAATCTGCTATGGTTGACCTTTCAGTGCATCAAAGAAAACTTGGCTTTGACTTCTAATGCCATCCAGAGCCGTCCCTGGGTTCTGCTTTTAGGCCTACCTTGGAGTTCTGCACTTCAGAGCAAGGTTTTTCTAGGCCTCATATTTCAAACAAAACCTTCTGAAGGTTGTGCAGAGAGTTTCATGACCAGGGGCCTTTATCAAGAGTATGTTGTGTGGTCTGTTCTAAATGAATTGTGCAGAAGACACTGCCTCAAATGTGTTTTTAATAGGATGGTTATTGGACATTCAATAGCAAGTGAACCTCAAAATCACAGATGCATATCTATTATGCAGTGGATAATCCTCAACGGAGCTGCTTTCTTAACTAATTATCTCTTACTTAATGAACATACAATAACTAATAAAACTTAAAAAGGAAGCCTTTAATTGCTCTACTGTTAGCCTACTAATTAAAAATATTTGTTAAGCTCAAGCAGATAGTAATCTATTCTTGGCCTTTCAGGTTTGGTACATCTTGAGGGAGTTTTTGATTTAAAACAGTTGGAAACAAACCTCTGTCATTTTTCAGGACATGGGAAGGGTGTTACTGGAGACCTGAGAATTGTGTTGGGGAAAGTAAGAAGAGAGGAGGGGGAGAGGGAGAGGGAGAGGAAGGGAGGGAAGGGGAGAAGGAAAGAAAAATAAAAGCTATTATTGTTAAAAAAAAATGATCCCTCGATTAGTAGACCTGAAGAGAATAATGAAGGAAAGCTGCTTCTTAGAGGGAAAGAAGCATCATTTGAAAGCGATCAAGAGATCTATTTTGTGCAGGGTATCACTAGCAAAAAAACTGGGGATGGTGCAAACTATTGGTAACAATGAACACAGCTTGCAGTTTTATTATGTGTATCGGTAGGATCACATTTTGGTGAAAGAAAAGACTTTAAAAACTGTATATTAAGGGCACAAAAATGAGAGTTATACCCTGTCAACCTGATGAGATAGATCAGATCAGAAAACTGACTCCACATATAACATAAGGCTATAGTAATAGAATTTTGCAAATCTGGCTGTATCCTTCCTTCTTACATCCCAGGAAGTCAGTGAAAGTTTTTTTCTAGTACTTTCCTGCTTCTCTGGCTTAATGCATGCTTCTTACTGGTGGCTGGCCTAACACCTTTGAGATGCCTTCTCCAAGTTCATCTCCATGGCTCCCCTACATATATCTCCAGATCTAAACATGGTTAGAAGGAATGTTATTGCACCTTTCCATCTAACAGGGATATAGTGTAACATTTGCTAGCCCAGGAGTATCCCATGGTTCTCTCTTAGGTCTAAGGTCCACAGTCAAGTTATTCAGTCTTTTTCATTTACGGAAAAAGAGCTAACCATACATAGGAATCAGCACACATAAAACAGCAATAAGTTTCCTAGAAAGGGATCCATTCAACATATATAACACACATCAGCCTAGTTAGGAAAAGAGCAGTGTAGTGGCCTATTGGTAAAGATGCTCGCTTTCCATTCAGAAAGTTGAGAGTTCAATCCTAGGTAGCAGCAGATTTTTCTCTCTTAGGACGCAAAGAAAAAAAGAAATCTGCTGTGAATTCTGAGTAGGTGTTAGGAAGGGTATCTGGTCAGTAAATACTCAGCTCCATCCATTCACCAAGACTCTACTCTGAATTAAGAATGGTAAATGGTAAAAGGGAAGTTAGTCTTATTAGAAATAGTTGTCTAACAAGAATCTGCTGACTCTTGATTCTTCTGAAAGACATAATTCCCTTGTGCCACACCTTTTTTTTTTCAGATACAAGATAAATCTGTACAAGTATTACATGTCAATCATTATTACGTGCTCTAATGTGCGCCCTTTGAATTAAACATAAGCTCAAGGACTTGATAGTGAAGTCATGTAGGTAAGATACCTGTATAACAAGTTTTTTTTACTGAGTGTGTGTTATCGTGCTAACCCATTATAGCACTTAGCATTTAAACTTATATACGCTTCACAGTGTTTTACAGCCCTCTCTAAGTGGTTTAGAGTCAACCTCTTGCCCCCCCAAATCTGGGTCCTCATTTTACCCACTTTGGAAGGATGGAAGGCTGAGTCAACCTTGAGCCAATGAGATTCAAACTGCAAGATTCAAACTGCTGAACTGCTGGCAGCCGGCAGTCAGCAGAAGTAGTCTGCAATACTGCACTCTAACCACAGCGCCATCACCGCTCATTATACAAACTGCTTTTCTGATAGGATGGGGTATGAACCCAGCATTGTGGTCTGTAAGCAGTATTTATGGCTTAGTCCAATATACAATGCCTGCCAACTTTGGCTTATTCAACAAAAGTTGTAATCATAGCTTAGCCTCATATGGGTACTGTCATTCAGATGTTACTGGCTATCGCAAGGTAATCCTGGGTACAAAATAAACTCCTCTTCAGCATGAAAGACCGTCGTGGCTATCTTTTGCTATAATATATGCTAGTGGCCTCTTCTTTGCACATAAACAGATCCATTTTTCAACGATGTAATCAGTCTGCTTCTATTAAGCTACTTAACAGCAATGAGTTGTGGTTCATTAGGTAGCTACTGTTGTGTCTCTGTCTAGTTAAAATTTCACAGCGAGTTAATCTATTTTATTACAAATGAGAACACATGCAATCATGTTCCTGGCATTTTCCAAACACAGGGTTAACAGTATTTGTAACAAATCAATGAGGACATTGCAATTGGAAAATGGCAGTCCTGATAGGCAAAGCATCTTTACCCACTGATGACTTTATTTTTTGCTGTTTGTGGATTTTACAGCTCCCTACCACTCTCTCTCTCTTTCTCTGTGTGTGCGCGTGTGTGTGTGTTAAAGGTAGGGTTTCCAACTCAGATTAAGCCAGCTTTTCAAAGGTTGTATTGTTACTGCGGAATGGCAAAATATTTATGTGATCAGAACAAAAGCCGCAATATAGATTTTTCATTGCTCTCGAAGGACCGAAGAGCACTTAAAATGCCAATTATTGGTCCAGTATAGTCTGGACATCCAGAGCTTTAACTGTCTGTGGATATAGAGCTGACCACTAACATAGATATCTACATCATCTTGGATTCATTTTGTAAGTTAGTCTCTTTGAGGTATATTGATTCAAAAAAAAAATGTTGCCTTATGATGCACCATTTTATCCAACTGAGGGCTACAAAGATATGAGTTTTAATCTTTGCACCATTGAGGTGACTGTGATGACACAGATAAACCTCCAGGTGACCTTAATGACCCACTAAAAGGATGCAAATGACCAGCTGTCTGCAAGAAGCATAAATCCTTCCATTCCTCACCTTCCAGTCAGAGTTGAAGAAGCTTCTTGGATGAAAAGCGAAATGTCTTCTAGGAAAAAAAACCAGAAAGTCCAGTTGCCTCTTGAAAAATTACCTTTGGGACAAGCGTTTTAATAGTATATAAATCAAACTGGAAGGAATGTCCACAAAAGACTCCATTCTTCAGGGGGGGAAAAGCTCACGGTGTTGGTATTCCTTTGGTATGACCAGGAGAGCTTGCCATCATTTGACTATGAGGATACTAGTTCCGAAGACATAGTAGAGCAAATGACACCCCTGCTCTCTCAGAAGAAGTGATTATAGAATAGGATGCACCCCATAAATATAAACAGGTTCTCCTACATCAAGATGTAGTTGAATCTCTACAGCTGAGTGGAAATCCTTCCACTGCTGAAGTTCAGTCTTACTGATTTGAAGATTCTGGGGAGCTGTCCGAGGTGCTACTTTTTTTTTTTTTGGATGTGCATTAAAACTGCTTTCTATAAAGTTGCTTAATAATGCATGGCTCTTTAGGTGTTTTTGGACTACATGTTTTTAAATCCCTGACTGTTATCTATACTGAATGGAAGGCTAGGTGTTTATATTGATATTCCACCCCACTGTTTCAATTGTCATTTTGTTGTATTCACTCCAATCTTTTCAGCACCAAGAACTGGTTCGTGGAAATACATTTTTCTGCAGACTGGAGAGGGCATGGTTTTTGCATGCTGTCTGCATCCCATGAATGGGGCTTTGCTTGTTTGCATGGACTTGTTTCTGGCATGCTGCAGCCCGCTGCCGGTCCATGGCCCGGGGGTTGGGGCCCTCTGCTCTAAGCCACTGAGTCTTTTGGCAGAGCATAAATTCAATAAAGGGCAGAATGACTTAGTGGTTAATCATGCTGAGCTTGTCAGCTGGAAAGCTGACACCCTGGGTTCAAGACCTGAGCGCCATGCAAGGGGTTGAGCTCCCATTCCTTGCTCCAGCTCCTACCCACTAGCAGTTCAAAAGCATGCAAATGCAAGTAGATAAATAGGTACCACTTCAGTGGGAAGGTAACAAGATTCCCTGCATCTTAGCCTATAGCCATTTTAGTTATATGACCACAAAAAATGTCTTCAGACAACACTGGCTCCCTTGGCCAAGAAACAGGGATGAGCACCATTCCCTAGAGGTGGACACGACTGGGCAGGGAAACCTTTACCTGTACAAAATTCAATAAAGAGACTCAATGTGCTCCAGGTGTTATGGATTTCAGTTCTCAATTGCTTCTGCTACCCATTGGATCCAAAATATCCAAAACATCCTGTTTTTATTCAGTATTTGTCCACCTCTCATTCACAGTAATCAACCCAGCCAACCTCATAGCAGGTTTTTCTCTCTCTGTGTGTGTATGTCTACTCACAGCTTTACTAGTGTTGGCACAATCTACTTGACCTTTGTCCTTCAGATGTGATTTTTCATAGTATTGATCTCCAAGCATTCAGAGCAATTGTGACCTACTGGCTTCCCTTGTTTATTTTTATTTGCACTGCGGCTATAATTACTTGCCCAAATGTTAATCTATTAATGAGTTCCTAAAGGACTTAATGGCATTTCTCTGCCAACAGGAATGTTTTTCAGTTCTTTCACAATATTGGAAATTTTATTCACACACAGTTTGTTTCCCATGCTTCTTTTTTTTTTACAATCAGACAGGCAGGCAGCGGGGCAGGACAATAAGTTCCTGATGAAAAAAGGGAAGCAGAAAACTACAGAGGGAATGTTCCAGCTCAGGATTTGGTCTGAGGGTCAAAAAGGAGACCACAAACTTCTGATTTTACGGGGGAAAAGAATGAGCACGTTTTTTTATTTATCTCATGAATGAGATGGCATCATGACTACAGTATCACCTCAGTTCTTTTGGCCATCTCAGGATGGACTTCCCAGAGGAAACTGAGAAGTTATGATAGCTCTTTTCAGCAAACTTCTTCATGAAGCCACCCAAAATCATTTGCTGAGATGGGTGGCTAGAGAAATCAAATCAATAAATTAAAAACTGTATGTTGGCTCAGCCTTCACGGGCTTAGCCTATGACTTATATTTAATGGGATGTACAATGATAATGACTGGAGGGATCTTCTTCTATTTTTAATTGACAATCAGCTGTGTAGGCAGAGGGATGAATTATTGGTACATTTTCCCAAGAATTATTTAATCCGGTCAGCAAAAAATGTTTCCCATTATTTGTTACATTTTGAACTGTGGAGGAGACTAAGCACAGAATCATGTACATGTACAATATGCCCATCCAAAGAGTCTTTTATAGAAATCGACACATATATCTACCCATCTTGAAAAATTACCCTACTTTCAGCATCAATTAGTCTTTAATGCCAGCTGTTCGCTTACTAATTTCCCTGCATTGTGACCATTTCTCACCAAGTTGTTAATTGCCACCTGCTCGGATAATCAACAAACGACAACAAAACAAGTTAGCAGAACTTCAGATGATCCTGGTACACAGTCAATCACAAATAAAATACAGGTAATTTGGAAAGGTGTTTCCTGATCATTACTTTACAATGTTCAGACTCTTACTGCGTTACTAGGGAAATGGAACACCTCAGTCAGTCCATGAATACAGAGAAAAATGCAGTAGGACTGGAATAAGCTATATATCAGGGGTCTCCAACCTTGGCAACATTAAGATTTGTGGATTTCAACTCCCAGAATTCCTAGCCAGTCATGCTGGCTGGGGAATTCTGGGCGTTGAAGTCCACAAGTCTTAAAGTTGCCAAGACTGGACACCCCTGATACATATGGTTCCTTATATACTGCTGGTATGCAAATCCCATCAACCCTGACTATTGGCCAGGCTGAAGAATGATGGGAACTATGGTCCCATAATATCTGCCTAGCTCTGAGTTGGCAGTCAATATTTATTGAGAAAAGACACTGCATGGCTGAATAAGAAACCTTATTTCTTCATCACTTCCAGGTTCTGTCTCAGAAAAGGAAGTCAGAAAGGAAATCAATCTATCTGCACACTTTTTGTTCTGTTCTGCATTCATTTTAATTAAAACATAAACACAACACATACAA